TTTTTTTTAAAAAAACGTTATAAATAGGTCATATTATTAAAAAGACCACAGGAATTGTCCCTGTTCTATTTAACAATTTAATTTGGTTTTCACCTGTATTAGTAGAGCAACTCCCAATGTTTATTTTGGAAGCATTATAGGTATTTTCTTAAGGAGACTTTGGAGGATAAGATGGTTGATAGTGAATAATAAATAGTAAAAGTAAATGGTATAATCCATAGAATTTGGTTAGATTTCTTGATTCTACAAAATTGCCAGACTAATATGCACACTGTAACCAACAAATTTGTAACAAGCTACACAAATGTTCAATATACACACTCAGATAGGTAGCCAATGTGTCAATCAAGAGGAAGACAAAATTGTCAAGGAACTCACAAGACATGAGGTATTGTTACAGCAGGGCCCGTCACTGCAGTGGGCCCCATTGGAGAGAGAGCATTTCTTGCAACACAATCCATAGCATTCCTAGAGAAAACACCTCATGTGAGTAAGTGAGGAATCTCACCCACTGCTCAGCCAGCATCCCCTCCACATGTGACTTATGCATAATCCAAATGAGTATATTTGTTCAACCGTAAGCAAATATTGGGGAAAGAATTAGTCACTCTAAACAATGATAGATTCCTTCCTGCCATATCTCTCAGCAAAGTATGAACTTCTATAAAAGGGCTTCTCTCCCAAAGAGTAAGCTTATGTTTTAACCAGCACCCCACCCCTGATAAGTTCTACTAATATTCATTAGCTCTAGTACATTCCAATCTATTTTTATGAAGACAAAAATAATACACAACACAGAAAGGTTTCATGATNATTCTGTGGGCTCAAACAGCTGAAAGAGATTAGGCAGGGAAAGGAAAACTGTTTCAATTTAGCACAGAAAATCAGCACACCAACTGGGCCACATACATGGCCCTATAATCAGCGATCACGTGATATTCTGTGATCTGTTGTTTCGCCATCTTATAAATGATGTCTGTGTGGGAAAAACTGTTCACTTATTAATAACATTTCTAAAGAACATATTTGAAATGGGGTAATATCTCTTGGGGGGATTCTCTGCACTGGGCTCCAGAGACAACCTCTAGCATTAGAGTTACTTTTTATGGAGATAAGCTGTCAAGAAGAATAGATCACTTTTCATATTTGCTAATGGGTCTAAAATGCATTGCTAATAAGACTCACAGATATCTAATTTGCTGAGAAGGCAGCTAAGAAGCCACAAAAATTATCAAAAATTTAAGCATGCTTCAGTTACAGCCAAATTTGATATATACAATCAAGTAAATGCAAATAAACTTAGAGAAAAAATGTTGCTAGAAATCCAAACCCATCATTCTCATTGAAAAGAAATCTGCACTGTCTGAAGCATATTAAATAAATGTGCAGACATATGCATGGATATACAGAAATCTCCCAATCATTCCTGGAGCAATGGAAGAGTCAAATTTCTGATCAATCTACCCTTTTGGTGCCATGAACTTGCTTGTGAGATAAACTCTATTATAGACCGATTGTTGAGGCAGTTGATTATTTATGAGAAACATGCCTACTTCCCACCACCTGAGGCAGGATTTCTCCAGGCATGATCACCACCCCTGGGTGAAGACTGAAGCAGCACATCCCAAACCAAATGTTCAGAGCCACAAACATGAGAGGAAGAAAGAGACTGTCCCCAGCAGCTGTGCACATCCCCAGGAAGGGTGGCCTTCCATTGGGTCCACCTGAGAAAGACCTAATCCTCCTTCCACTTCCAGGAAGGCAAAACTATTATCAGAAGGAAGAAAGGTTTCCAGGCTACCTGAGTGGGACTCCTCTGTGGGAAAGTCCAGTGAGTGAAATCAACAGTCCTAATCTCTGTGGTACTTTGATTAGTAGACAGGAGAAAATGGAAAAGGGAAGGCCCGGCTAGAACATGACCAGCACGTTCTGTCAGGCCTACCATTCTTCCATTCTTAGGATTCTTTCTCCATCCTGAGATGGACAGGTCACTACCTCAAACCAGATGGAAAACGTGGCAGTTGGGAAGATTCCTAAAGCACAGAAAACATGTGCATAGATAGTGTGAAAATAACACATAACATATGACTAAAAACACTTAGGGAAGAGAGTCAGTTCTTTGATATGTACATATACACTATTTCACTGGAATCCATAGGGTTGTTTTTTTAACCATTGTAGTATGCAGTTCAAAAAGAGAAAACATTCCATATTTACTAACTTTTAAAATTGAGGATATATATTATTTTTATATAATTTCCAAGTTATTGGAATAATTTTCTTCCTACTCACAGGCAATTTCAGAATCCAGTGATGAATTTTTACGCGGATGCTAGAAACCTTAACCTTTCCAAACAAGTTAGTGTTGTTTCCTCAAGCATGATGCTTATAATTAGGTGGTAAGCTACAAGGTAGGTAAAATTAGCTGTGTAAACTGCAATTCAAAAATGCTAGTAACTCACATTAGTTCATCATTACTTATTTCACTCAGTTTAAACACTTTGAAGCTTTCACATCTCTGTTGTGTTGAGATCAATGCCATTAAAGGCAGACAATGGCTTTAATGTTGCAAGGTCACTTGAAAAGTCCTGCTTCTTTATACGCAGACTTACTAAGATTTTATACAGATGTCAGGCATCAAACTACCATCCCCTGACTACGGCAGTGTATGTTAATTATCCACATTAGTTACTGATTTTCTTTTAAAGGTTAATATGATTTCACCACTCTCTCAATTTGTAGAATATTAAACATTTTGTACAGCAATGAACGATATTTGACTTATGAAGTAGTGTTTTAAAAGAAAATTTGAAATTTGACATGAAATTTGACATTTCCACACATGCAACTGTAGATCTCATCCAAAAGCTTTATAGCCTGTAAGTTTGAGAATTCTGGCTTTGCTAGATTTTAGAAAAGTAGGATGCATTTACCATGTTCTATGTAATAGTCCCGAAGGGCCTGGGACACACCATATAAATAAATACATTAATATTTCTGCAGTAAGACTTATAAATATTTACACTATGAGGGATAAATATTTTCCATTTAGAACAAGTTTTACTGTCAAATGTTTTTTCTGAAAACTCATAGAAAACAATTTTAGACTTTTCTGAATTAAAGGAATTGTGACACTGTATATACAAATTTTGATGAACTGCCAATTGAGAATGTGGACCTCCCTAGATAAAGAGATTATGCAATATAAATACATACTTGCATTCATGGCATCCATAAATACCTTAGGCTATTTTTAGATGACCAATTTTAGTAATGATTCCTGCCCAGGAGAAGAGAGCACTCAAAATAGTCGAGAAATTAGTTAGGCCCCTAGAGAGAATGTCAAGGGGAAATGGAATTTTTATCAGATAAATGGGTTAAAGTAATATTCTATCTTAATCTAACCTACTATCTCTTAGCAGCAGGTTGAAAACTCTAACATGAAAATTTCAAAGATATTTTAATTGAAGGATTGTTTGCTTTTTGGAGGGGAGAGTCAGGGGTGCAGGTGGGGGCGGGGTGTTGCGCTAGCACTAAGAAACTATTCTTAGAACACTGAATCTATGGTTTTGTCATTCATTTAAACAGGACTCAGTCTTCAACATAAGGCTTTTTTTTGTAACTAAATATTAATCCGATTGACAGGAAACCTGCTTTCCAAGACAAGTATCTGATATTCAGCACAATTCCTTTGTAAAACAGTGGAGAAATAAATAAACTTTCTAAGTTACTAACCTTGGTTGGCCTGTTGAAAAGGCAGGATCCACCCCCTCTCTGTAAAAAGTCTCTATATTCCAAAATGCTGCACTTTGAGAATTTTCGGGAATGGGATACCCTGAGAAAACAAAGAATTAATTATAAAGGCGGCCATCAGAAAAGGAAATTAAAATCCTTGGATTAGAACAAAATGTTCCCTCCGGATCCAGATGAATCTACACAAATTTTGACAAGGCACTTATTTTCAAATTCCCAAATAAGTATGTGTGGCAGTGTTTATAAAAATAGAAATTCAAAGAAAATCACAGATTTGGGGGCTAGGTTACAACCTTCTCAGCAGTCAAGAACTTTTGTGACCTGGCTTGAACAGTTTTTGAAAAGCTCATCACAATACATCTTCATGTATTTTAAAGTGTGATAATTTTATTTGCTAGTTCTCAGTAAAGGCAAGCATTTTTTTGACTCTGTCTTAAATAAAAGGAACTCATGAATCTACTACATTTTAATTTGGAGGAGGGAGTTGTGAGGGTCAATTTATTAAAGATTATATAATGTAGGCTTCAAAAACAACTATTCCAGTAAACAAGGAAACCCTAAAGAGATGTGTTAGACAATACATATATATGTACCTATGTTTCTACTGTGTATACACACAGTAAAAACAGAATTGGGGTAAGCTCTTTATTCTCAGTTTCAAATACTATTTAGTGATATTCATGATTTTAGCAGGAATATAAAATGAGCCTTTCTGAGATTTACTTAAACAAATCAATACTTTTATGTCAGTACACAGAGGAATATTAATCACATGGTCAAGGCTAAGCTGAATGTTACATACTGATTCCTTGGGAATATTTGTAATAGTTCTTGATTTGAAAATGGTAGGACACTTATTCTAGGATGTAATAGAATAGTTTATGTATTTCTGATGTGTGAGGCTAGTTTATGAAAGTAGGTAAAACTTGCCACTGTTCACAGTGATCTCTTACAAGAACTATACAGAAATGTATATTGGAGAAAATATATATTAACTTTAAATAGTTTTATTATATCCTATGGATAGTCAGTCCAAAACCTCATTTAAAAATTGGGACTTTGGAAGACAGAAGACATCTCCATATAGAGCCAATATTATAAATGGTGTTACCTTCCTATAGCAGTCCTTTAAAAAGCCTGTTTAAGCCATAAATTACTAAACTATTGTACAACAGTAAGGGGACCGTGAAACTAACAGTTTCAAGTTTAAACTGCATTTCTAGAAAATTGTTGTAAAGTAGCAGGGATAAAAGCTGTCTCTGTGTAAATCCTCCTGCTCACACTCCTCTTCTCCCCAGGAGCTGGACCCTGGGAGGGTCTGGTGGAAGAATGAGGAAGGGGCTCTGTACATGTAGGTCAGAGCCTCTAGCACCTGGGGCTCAGACAGATGGGGAAAGGACCAGAAATATCCGATGTGTTAGGCAGGTGTCTGTCATGGGCAAAGGAAGCAGGAAAAGCACAGGGCGAGGAAATCTCTCCCATCTACAAGGCGTAAGTACAGCTTGGGCACTGGCTCCCACAGGACACAGGTCCATGGGAGAGGGGCAATGTTTCCAGGGCTTGGTTCACTGAAGCAATGGTAGGTGTCAGGCAGCGGCTCTAGTTCCCAAATATCCACAAAAGAAAAGGTAGGTGGGGAAATGTCCGACTATCTGTCACTAGAAGACTCCCTAATCTAGACACGATAAATTTGTCTTTAAAAAGAGGTTTTATTGATTATATAAGCAGTACAGTACAATTTTATTACTGTAAATATATATATATATATTTACGAGTTCCTTAAAATATAAACGGATGACTAAATTGATTTTCCCTAACTGCTCCAAGTAGACAATGGCTTTTATTCTAAGTGTACTAAAAAGTTAATGACTCTTCTAAACTTAGAAGCATTTAGTAAAGTAAAAACTTTAAGGGTTAATAAGAAGTAGAAGTAGTTAATAGATTTTACTTTTATCACCAACCTTAAATAAAAAATTAAAATATAAAATGAATTAGCCCATTCAGTTTTAAAATGTCAGACAATTAACTGTTGAATTTATACTAAGTGCTTGGTCTAAAAGACTAGTACCTGAGATCCTGTGTCTCTAATTACATGCAGCAATTTTAGGGAAAGACATATAGCAAATGCATGCGTAATGAAATTTACCCCGTTTCCTCCATGATGCAGCCACCCCAGGATTCTGTGCAGTCACACTCTAGTCCAATGAAACAATAAAGGCAATAGAAGAAAAAGGAAACAAGTCACGTCTTTAATTTGCTTTATAGCTCTTACAATTATTCTTTATTACCAATGCCATGCCAAATAGATACAGAATATGAAGATTCTTAGAACAAATTTCTTTCTTTTAAATCAGTATTTCCTTATTCTTTCCAGAAATACAGATCAGTTCCTAAGAAGACAGTAGAAAAGAAATAAAATTGTGACTCTTCATTTTGTAACTCAGACAACTCAGTTAGGTTCCTAGTTCCAATGTTTAATGAAAAGCACCCTCATCTAGATATTGGAAAGCCTGTCCTCTAGTCCAGTTCTACCATGAGAGTCTCACAGGCAAGTGACTTAGCATTTCTTGAGTCTCAGCATTTCCACCTCTAAAATGAGAATAACATCTCTCTGCCTATCTCCCAGAGTGATTCTGGGGGGTCACACGAGATAGTGTATCTGTGTGCTGTCTTGTGAACTGTAAAGCTCTGTTGCACAAACACAAGGAACCATCACTGAAGTCCTAACAGAGCATGCTGGAAGTTAGAGAAGAGAATGCAATTTGCCAGACTGAAAGCAAGGATCAAAAAGAGACTTAAAGAACACTATGTTAAATAACAGTTGAGCCAAAGAGAGCAAACTGCAATAGAAGTGCACATGATCACTTAAATTAAACTACAATCATAAACTTACTTAGATACTAGAAATTGACACTGATATTGTGATGGGCTCTTCTCTTCATTTATTTTTTCCTATTCTCTTTTCTATCATAGATAAAGATACTTTTATTTTATTTATTTATTTATTTATTTTTAAAGATGACCGGCAAGGGGATCTTAACCCTTGACTTGGTGTTGTCAGCACCACGCTCTCCCAAGTGAGCTAACCAGCCATCCCTATATAGGGATCCGAACCTGTGGCCTTGCTGTTATCAGCACTGCACTCTCCCAAGTGAGCCACAGTCCAGCCCTGATAAAGATATTTTTAAAGAAAGACTTCCAAATGGATTTTTAAAACTCAAAGTTTGAAACTAATAGAACAGCTGCCTAAACAAACAATCCACAAAGGAATAAAGAAGCTTAGGAAGGAAGGAACTATGGCAGGCACTGGGAATGAACTCTGTTTCTCACCCTACTGCACCATTCAGTGCAGCAACATCTCTTGGCTGACCCCAGCACTGGCCTCTTTCCAACTCCAGGATTTTCAAACAAGGTCAAAAACCTACTCATGATCCTTTCTGATTTTAAGGCATCTATGGCAGCTGATGAACTCTAAAACCCTCTGTAATTCATACTTGGCGTTTCCTTGGGAAAGCAAAAACTCTGAGCAAGATATTAATAAATGAAAGTTTGTAGGGATCTGGGAAGTGCCACCAGACACTTGTGATGAGACTATGTTACTTGGTAACTTAATGTACCTACAAAGAAAACTGAGAAGCCTGTGGACATATATTTTGCTTCAATTTTCCATAATACTATGCATTAATGACAAAAAAAAGTATAAAATGTTGGATAATGTTAAGGTAGATTTAGTCCTTTTCTTCTTCGGGGAGGATGGAGTGGAAAGGGAGACCTTTACTTTTACTGTCTCGTATTTTCACAGAGGGGACGGACTTACACTTAATTTCCAGTTCCGTGAATAAAATAAGTGAACACGTTGGTCTCTCTTCCCACAGAAGCATATTATGACATCTGTGGACCCTAGACACTTGTGCCTTTCACCACAAAAATGTTTTAAAAATTATATTTTACTACTGTGTTGGTGTAAAGAGGAATATAACCCAGGTTGGATTTTATTCTGATTTTAAAAGAAATTTAAAATTATCCTGGACTCCTTAAATTATTGTGGGCCCTACACACTTCGCCTGCTAGATAAGTCAGCCCTGTCTTTCCATCTTCTTCTCATCTGATTAATAAAAAAAGTGACACCTAACAGTCATTGGCCATGTTTATGACTGGATGGGATCTGTGGCCCTGTTTGTACTCCCTCTTGGACCTGCCTGCCCACTAGAAGAGAATCCATGCTTAAAAGGCCCTAGGGCAGGGCCTTCCTATGGGGCAGCCTTCTTCTCCAACCTTCCTGATGGGACTAAACGGGTAGGTTTAATTAAAGGTTAAACGTGAGTACCTTTTTGACTCTAGGTCTGAGCTATTTCCTAATCCAACTGTGCTATTACTAAACTTGTGATGGAGCCTCATGTAGCATCTTTTATCTGTAGTTAACTGGTTAGAACCCAGACAACCTTTTTGACTCTAGGTCTGAGCTATTTCCTAATCCAACTGTGCTATTACTAAACTTGTGACGGAGCCTCATGTAGCATCTTTTATCTGTAGTTAACTGGTTAGAACCCAGACAGTGAGTCTTCACCACCCCCAATGCCAACATCCTGCAGTGTGAGAAAGAGCTGATTCACACACTGAGAAACTGGTGTGATTTTATGGATTTCAAAAGGGAAATTTCTACAACCCAAACATTAAGAATTACCTCCAGCTGCTTGTTTTATAAGTTTTTTAGAGGAAGGATATACTACAATTAAACTATAATGACTTGAACGAAAAATATTTATTTATTGACTGGATATGCATTACACAGACAGAATGGCAACTGAAAGTGAGTAAGAAGGTCAATGTACTTACTTGACTTTCTGCTAGAAGGTTCCCATTGGATTCCAAGGTTTTGAGCCAGGCTCTGCGATAACACTTGTGCCACTGCCATTGGAAGACCATACTGTTTTTCAGAGTTGAAAGTGTGTGGGAAACATTTGAGAGAGTGCACAAAGCTAGTTATTATTTCTTAATTGTTACCACATATCATCTCAGTTCCCTAAGTAGAGCCTCACAGCATCTAAAGACACATATGCTCCGTATCATTTCTTCCTTGCAACTGGGCCCAAGAAGCAGGAAGCCCCTCTTCCTATGTGGCATCTCTCAGAACTTGAAGCTCTCACAAGGAAACATAAAATACCAGTCACTAAAGGCTCTGCTCCAATTCAACTCATGCCAAACCAAAAATAAATTCAATTTATTAAAAAAAATGTCAAGAGAGGTAGCCACTGAATGATGGCTATTGGGATAACCTGGTATAATATATTCCAGTATTGACCAGAGTTTGGATATAATTGGTTAGTCTTTTGGGGTGGTATAACCAACTAAGAATTTCCTTGATAACAATGAAGGTCTCAAAATCCAAACAATGAGATTAAGGAAATATTTGTCTCAATTCACTCTATGGATAGAAGGCATAAAGATGAAAAAATTTACATGGGGGAAAAAAAGATACTGATATCGTAAACCCTTTGATTTAAAGGAGTTAAACCTAATGTGGGCAGAAGAGCATCATAACTAAAAAAAAAAAATTTATAAGAGATACATTAATAAACTTGTAAAAAAGAATTTAACATCTTATCTATAGATGGCTAAAAAATCTCTGGGCCAATCTTCAGCTTGCATTTGCCTAATAAATATGAAAAACTATCATTATGATAACCAAGGATGTCATTATGAACCCAACGGACCACTTTGGTTTCTGTTCACTAACATAAACCACTCATGCTATATTCTCGACATCATCATTCTAAACAAGCATGAGAAGGGATGTTAACTGGACCATAGGGAAGAAAGAGACCAGATGAAAAGGTAAAGTCCACTTTAAGAAAATTGATACAATTTACCTCATTCACACCAACTCCTCTTGTGCGAGAACAGACACCTCCAAAGTAACTCAGGCTGCTTCTCTTATAGTGGAATATCACATGCCTTAAGGAAAAAAAAGTACTATTAGAAAATCAATGGAGTGACCATCATATAAACTCTTCCCAACACACGTCTACTTTCCTACACTGAATATCCCAAAACCATCTTCCTCCAAGAAATCAAAAACTGTATTTTAAATACCATTAAATTTATGTTGTCATAATTAACTTTAAATTTATGTTATGTTAAATAATTTCATTTGAGCAAGCATTAACTGAGCACCTACTAAGTACATAATCGAAAACACAAAAATAAACATACCATAGCCCTTGACTTTTTTCTAGCAGAGAATATCTAGTAGTTACACAAAATATTGCTGATTATTATAAATTGCTGATTAAAGACAGAGAGAAAAGAAAGTAAAGGGCAAAAGGAAAGGAAAGAATACTTTGGTTGGTTTCATTCCAGGACAGAATCTTGGAGGACTGTCTGAAAATATCTTCACCATGAGTGGGGAAAGGAACAGCTATGATATTATACGTTAAAAAGAAAGAATAGAACCCTTCTTCCTTAGAGACAGAAACCCAATTTTATTCAACGGTTCACCTAAAAAGACTACATTTCCTAGCCTCTCTTGCAGTTAGGTGTGGCCACGTAACTACAATCTAGCAAATGACTGGTTGGTAAAATCGATGTGTGCAAGCTTTCAGATCTGCTTTATAAGAGTTGACTCTGCCTGCTGCCCATAATGAAGGCTGGGGCACCACAGATTCAACGGTTCACCTAAAAAGACTACATTTCCTAGCCTCTCTTGCAGTTAGGTGTGGCCACATAACTACAATCTAACAAATGACTGGTTGGTAAAATCGACGTGTGCAAGCTTTCAGATCTGCTTTATAAGAGTTGACTCTGCCTGCTGCCCATAACGAAGGCTGGGGCACCACAACAATCTAACAAATGACTGGTTGGTAAAATCGACGTGTGCAAGCTTTCAGATCTGCTTTATAAGAGTTGACTCTGCCTGCTGCCCATAACGAAGGCTGGGGCACCACAACCATCTCGGGTTGCGAGTTGACCTTGAGGATGGAAGTCATGCATGTGCTCTGAAGGTAGATCTTACGGTTGTAGAACCAGCAGCATCCCAGCACGGGACATCTTCCCTCCATTTTTCTTATATAGCAGAAAGGGAAATCAATAGCAATCTTGCTCAAGGCACATTTTCTGATATATAACTTAACTGATACAATAAAAGGATAAAGATAAATGTCAAACCAAAGAGAACAATAAAAGCATAGATGGGTACACACGAGATAAGGTGCACGGCATCAGCATGCTGTTTGATTCGCTGCCGGTATTTGGAGAACTCGTGGAGCATCTGCACAGGGTTGGTGGTGATGTCAATATGATCCTTCTCAGTCCAGGTCTCTACAGCCACCAGGACAACCCTGGTATTGAGCTGCTCCTTGTAAATCTGAGGGTATACAACAGGACAGGTGCAGGAGGAAAACACTGGGTCAAACATGCACGATCAGTGAATCAGAGTCAGTGGAAGGACAGGACGGGAGAGGTGAGAGGAGAACATGGGGTCATAATTAGCTCATCACAGAGAATTTTCTTTTCATTTCTCTTTTCCAAGAGCAAAAAGAAAGAAAGAAAGAACAATCATACGCTTTGGTCTCATGTCACCAACTCTCCTATGGTATTTCAATCCCAAGATCAACACATTTAGCGGCCTGGCATCTCACTAGGGGATAGTAGGGATGTCAACACTCTGAAGTCAGCACGCAAATTGAAAACAGGTTCAGTAAAAGCACCCTTCTAAACCTCCTAGTTGGTAACAGGTTGGAGCCTGATATACTGGCTCTGAGTAAATACAGTGAAACCAATTATTCCTGCAGGATTGGAGTGGATCACTAAATCTTCAGACAAGCACTAAATAATATGGCTAGCTTACTCTTGGAGGCCATGTTATATGGGAACTAAAACACCACTGGGAAAGAATCACAGATCTGAGACCAAAGAGGAAAAAGCAGATTTCTGTCACCCATCTCACCATGGCCACAGGGTGGCATCAGTCACAATATTTAAATACCTTCCTGCTCTCTTTCTCTACTTGTGGCCCAGTAGCTAAATAATTCACACAATTAAGCAACTACAACGAATGCTATCATTCTGTACTTTTTTCAAGCTAATTAAGAAAACAATGGACAATCTTTGAACACACTGAAGAAGAGGTATATCATCGAGCCTAAATCAAACTGAGGCTATAATGACTATACAACAAAAGCGAGGTAAGTGTAATGTCTTTCAAAAATTAGTGGTCAACTTCAGAACTGCACATGGTAACCCAAAATAAAAATTACACTTTTGCAGGATGTGATTCTATTTAATCACGCTGAAATGACTGACACGGAGACGCTACCAAGTAATCAGCATTTGCAGGGGGAAAGATGTGTGTACGATTCTCTTTTCCATATTCACTTATAGTTTTCCTCTGACAAGACAGACAAGAGCTGAAATTAAAGAAAATTAATAAACTAGGTGGAATTTGGCTCTATGAGGTTCAATCCTAATTCTATGTGATATACTCTATGCACATCCACACATATTACACTTTTGACCAGCTGTGCCTACCAGCCACATAACATATGTTATAAGTATTTACATGATTGGAGGTTTGGGACTGTTTGAAAGGCAGAAAAGAAGGCAGTTCTTTGGAATAAATAAACACCATTTAGATGTTCAGCAATTTATAAATAGTTTTTTGTTTCCCAGTTAGGAGGAAACATACCAGATAAAAATATATTTAGCTGAACAGAATAGCACTATATTAGAATATATAAAGTAGTACGCTGTACTTAACTTCTGACTAGTCAAATTCAACCATTTTGGGGAACATAATGCATAATATCATGTCTATGGAGTTCCTACTCCATAAGAAGAAGGAAGAAAATCTTAACCATCATTCTCTGTAATTACAAAATGAGAGGAGAAAAACATATTGATATTAAAGATTTGTAGAGTTAGAAGTCTCTGTAAGGAGATATATATTTTATGGATTTAAATTAGTTTTATTTGGGGACTGCACTTAATTCTGTCATCTAGAAATAAAATCTGAAACAGTTCAATAATGGGAACACTAAGAAAATTAATTTGTGTCTTTTTAAAAATTTTTTTATTACCTATATTTTCCAAACATACTCTGCTTCAATCTATTAGTTCTTCTCTGCTAACACCATATATTTAAGAAAGGCTCAACTAGTTATTAACAAAGTCTCATTTGCCAAGTATAATATACACTCTTTTTGGTAACTAATTTTCTCTACTGTTTTTGTCCTCCATGGACTCTGGTGACAACAGGGTCTAGACATCACTTAGAAGCAATGCTAATGCATCTCTGGCATTCTGAGAATAATGCAATAGTCCCCTGAAGCTCTGATAGCACTACTCTTAGTGAAACAGACCATTTTATGATTTCTTAGCCAAAATGAGCTTAACAATTGCATTTTTACTTTTGCCCAAGACATAACTATAGTAACAAGTAAGCAAATAGAGACAGAGATATAAACCATTCCATCTGGGTAAAAATAGGTTCAAGAAAATTGGGTACTTACAGAATCTACAAGGTTGACCACAGACTTTGCAAAGTTGTTGGTATGTGCATGAGAAGAGCGATGCCTCTTATACTGGGGAGAAAAAAGGATATACAAATCACTGCAAAATAACAATTTAATAGTAAATTTCAAAATTCTGTAAAAGCAGAAATCTCATAGCAGTAGTAGAAATGGGGATTAAAAATAAAGAATTCAGTTTGTGCCATACTGGTGCTGTTCTTATTTTATTCTCTGTTAAGCAACAAAACTCTTGACTATCTAAAACACCCCACATTGTTCCAGGTAATGGAAAGGGCCTATAGAAATCTCCATGAGAAGTAATCTTACCTGCAAAGTAAGTTTTTAATTCAGTCTTAATTTCCACAAATTCAATCCTTTTGTTTTCACTGAAACATTTCACAACTTATAAAGGGCTCAGACCAAAAACTGTAGTCCCGATTGGACACCTTGAGGACTTAAAACTCAAGGCCATGCACGGATCAAGAACATTTCATAGGCAGCGCTTTAGACCTACATTTTTAGCAAGGAGTAGTATATTTTGCTCAATATGTCTCGATATGAGACATTTGAAAACTGAACATGGGAAGATCATGCCCTCTACTGGCCTGTGAGGCTATTGTTATTTTTACAACTCTAAGGAAAAAGAAAAACCTACATAAAACTTCTGATCCAGATTTGTACCTTAAGTTTTTGAAATTTGTCCTCAATTATAATTATTAAAAATAATGCATCTTTCATGAAGATTAAAAATATTTCTACATTGGAAAATCAAGATTTTTTTCCCCTTTGCCCACTTTCACCATAAAATTTGTCAGACCCTTCATTTTGTTCTCTTTCTACCCCCGTGACTATGTTTTTTAAACAAAGAATGTATGTCTCAAAGCTAACATATCTCATGTTTATTTTTTATAACACTGAGAACACAGATGATCCATCATAAATGTGCAATAAATTGATCGGTGTTGTGCGGTTAGCAGCATTCATTACTTCACAACTACTGATGTAACATTACTGTGATTGTTCATCTTATTGCCACCACTGCCTATGCATCATGATCTGAACCAGACTGTCCTTTTGTGTTCTCTTAAACTTCAATGCATGCATATAACTGGGTCATAAAACATATTCATCTAAAAATGCTCAGGCATTTTTACAGGTTTTTTAAACTTAGCATAAAGAAGTTTGTGAAAATAGCTCAATATTTTCAGTTGCCTAGGAAATTCCACAAGCTGAAAAATTTCAAAGATAGCTTCAAGAGTAAAAGAAAAAGTCTCGACATTAAGTTCCTCTGGGGTGATAAAAATGTTTTACCTAGATAGTGGTAACAATTACACAACTTTGTGAAGGTACCCAACACCACTGAACTGTAGACTAAGAAGAAAGGGAAAATATGAGCTGATACCTATTTTAATGCAGTGGTGTTATGTACTTATTAAGATGAATTTTATTTTGTTCCTGAATATTTGGAGACTTCTTTTTCCAGTATAATGATGATGAAAAACATGATGTGCAGGTTTAAAATAATAAAACGGGGTCTTTTTAAAGTCTATCCAAGGCTGATTAGTTAGCTCAGTTGGTTAGAGTGTAGCCTTGTAACACCAGGGTCAAGGGTTTGGTTCCCTACACCAGCCAGCCACCATACATACATACGTACATATGTACATACATAAATAAAGTTGATCAAAATGTGATAAGTTTTTCATTTATTTCATATTTGTAATTTTCAAGTCTCTGAGTTTCTCTTTAGAAAGATCACTCTGCCTGCTGTGTCGGAGTGAATTAGAAAGGGTCAAAAATGAAAACAGAGAGAGCAGATGGGAAACTATTGCAATAGCCCAGGTAAGAGACAATTGAGGCCAAACAAGTGTAGAGAGAAGTGTGTGGATTCAACAAACATCATGAAGTTAGAGCTCCCAACACTTGCTAACATACAAGATGTGGACAGTGGAGAAAAAGAATAAACGATGACTCTTAGGCTTTGAACTTGAATAGATGGGAGACAGTGGTACCTTTTAAAAATAATGAGAAAGACCAGGGGAAGAGGAGTTTAGGTCTAGGAACTAAGAGTTCTGATTTACACATTTTAAATACGAGATGCCTATTCAATATTGAAGTTGAGATGTCAAATAGGTGGCGGTGAATATATGAGTATGGAACTCGAAAGGCTAGAGCTATCATGTAGGGAGTAATGAATTTAAACTCACGATACTATTTAAAGACTTAAGACTGGATGCTGTCATTTAGAGAGAGATTATAGAAGGAAAAGAGAGCCCTGAAGCAAGCCATGGGGCACTCCCATAATTCGGGAGGCCAGATTTAAAGACTTAGAAGAGACAGCCAGTGAGGTGGGAGAGCTGTTGTGTCACCATTATAGAAGGAAAAGAGAGCCCTGAAGCAAGCCATGGGGCACTCCCATAATTCGGGAGGCCGGATTTAAAGACTTAGAAGAGACAGCCAGTGAGGTGGGAGAGCTGTTGTGTCACCGAAGCTGAGAGATGAAGAAAATGTTTCAAAAAAGAGAATAATCAGCTGTGTCCAATGTTGTTGAGAAAGTAACATAAGTACAGAACAGTGACCACTACATTTATTAACCTGCAGTGCCATTTAATTGAGCGTCTAGGATTTATTGGGAACTGTGATGTGTTTCTCCTACAACAAATATTTGCTCCTCACAATTCTATGATGTAGGTTTTATTATACCTGAATAACTCATCCAAGATCACACAGCTGAAGTTCAAAGCCTATTCTAGATTGAGATAGGAGATAAACTTGTTCAGTTAACAATTCTAATTAAATAGTTTAAGTATATTCCTAACAAATCATGATTATTGATGATAACACAACTTGTTAAGAGCATACAAAATATAGTGGTTTTTAAGTAAGGAAAACCAAATGAGGTCTAAATTTAAAAATATTTGAGTTATCACGTTTGGACTTATTGACTCTTATGAGTACTTAAGAATATAGCAAAAATGTAAACAAAACATTTGCTTTTCACGGACTTTAAAATATCTTAACCAGCTTTCTATTAAAATAAGGTTTTAATATTTATTTTTAGCTTAAGCAGCTCAAAGAAATGTTCACAGACTCTTATCAAGGCTATAATTGGCTTGCAAATTAGGTTCCATCAGCCAGGTACTAAAGGTATTTTCTACAAAATTGAGGGATTTTTTCTTTTCTAATTGAAAGCCACTGATAATTGTGATGCCTTTTCAAAATGAGGCATCTGCATTTTTTCAGGCAGTGGACATTAGGTTACTCTGAGTTAAAGAGGTAGGCTTGAATACAAATACAGGCAAAATGCTTCTATTTCCTGCATGAATGAGAATTGATTTTGCATATAAGAAAAATGTGTAATCTCCATTTATGATAAACTTTACTTTCATATTTCCTGATCACCAAAAACAATTTACATTTAAACTGGCAAATTTGCTTTTCCTTCCTAAACAAATGCGGTCCTTAAGAAAATTGCCTTTTGAAAAAAATTAAAACTAGAGTTGGATTTTCTACTCAAAGGCGACAGTTATCAAAATAACCGTGCTTCCTCACATAGTGTAAAGACTATAAAAAGAGCACTCTCAAAAGGATGATTATTCCAAAACCCAACAGACAATCTCCAAATATTAAAACATAGGTATATTAATTATTCTAGTTCAGTTTGACTTTCAACATGTGAATTTAAACATGATCCATGTTCTGATTAACTAAATATTTGTGGCAATAGAATTAAAAAACTAGAGCGCTGCTGCCATGGCCATGGCCATGGCCCACCAGGTGAGAGGAGCATGTGGAGTATTTGGGGGGAGATCGCTCCCATCCTGGCCAGCTCACCCCCTCCTGCCCCTACTCCAGCCACCACTCGAGGCCTTGGCCCAGGAGGGCAAGTGTGACTAGAAAAAGGAATCACATTAACTGGTAACAATCACTTAATGCCAGTAGATAGAATAACAGGTGAAGATTTTTGGATGTTTTTTTAGAATTTTAAAGAATCATCCATATATTGATGAAACAATGTAATCTCATTTACTTAAACCTTATGTCTAATAACATTGGGCACAAAAGTGAAGAACTGATTGCTAAAGCACTATGCATGAAAACAACTCTGAAATACCAAAGAACAACTGGAGATGAGACTGAAAACAAAGGTGGAATGTTTTTTGCTGCAATGCTGAAAATTAATTCATCCTTAAAGAAATTAGATCTGGGTGACTGTGATCTGGGAATGCAAAGCATGATGACGTTTGCTACAGTACTAACGCAAACCCAAGCACTTAAGAAAATAAACCTAAACCAATCTATACTGTACGGTGAGAAGAGTCCACAGTCCATCTAGGCCAAATGTTACAGGAAAATCACTGCCTTGTTGAAACAACGTGTAAGCATGATATAAAAAACTGTGGTATGCAAAAGCTATGTGAGGCACACTGTACATGAACAGTAGCCTACACTACCTCGATGTCAGCTGCAGTAAAATAACTCGTGATGGAATGGTGTATCTGATTGAGGTACTGAAAAGCAATACCACCCTAGAAGTAACAGACCTTTCTTTTAACAGAATAGAAAATGCAGTAGCAAATACTACTCAGTGAAACTCTCGCTTCACACAACAGGAGTCTTAAAATGTCGTCAGCAGTCAGCAAGCACACAGAGGGAGGAAGACTTGCTGTGCTTTCATGATCAACGAAACACATCTCACATTCTCTGATATCTACATGTGGTGAAACAAATTTGATGAGGGTACATGTGTGGCATGCTCAGACATAATTCAAATGGGTCACTTAAAAGCAGACAATACAGATATGGAGCCATTTGCGGTGGGTGGATGGACGTGTGTATCTTACAGAAGTCTCCAATGGCCTTAAAGAGCATTATTATCGGACACCAGTGTACGGAGAAGCGTACAGCCAATCGTCTAATGCAGGTTTTGCTCTTGTTCCAGTAGGTCAACATCTATGAAAACCAAGTTCTAAAATAACTGTCAGACATTTATCTTATTACTTTCACAGAGATTAATATTTTATAGCCTATTAAATTTTTTCTGTCATAAATTAGAATGTTACTTTTGTCAAATGTGTAAAAGATAGGACTATATTCTTTGTCTGACTATCCATTGTCAAAAAAAAAATCAAAAACTATCTTCACCTCATATAAAGCATATCTCAGAAAAGGATTTTCCTCAATTCTCAAAAAAAAAAATTCTTATAAAATGACACACTTACTTGGGACTATTATGGACTAGACGTAACCTGGTCTTAAAAGGAATATACTTATTTCTATTAGCCTAGAACTAATATTTCTTTAAATAGTAGAAATCTTCTTAGGTAATTTCTTTCTAGTCTAGGCATTATTACCACTAAAAAATAAAAGCTTTCATTTTTTTTCTTTCTTAACATGTATTCCCTCCAAATTTATCAGTACAAGTTACAGTTCTTTTTTTCTGGTTTCAAAAACAGATAAGCATATCATGTCAAGTTCTTGCCTATTTTAATCACCATAAAATAAAATACCAAGATTTACCATGAAAACATTTGATAGCCTTCATAAGGTAACTTTATCACAGGATATATGGTATAATATGCAGGAACTTTCCATATACAAGGGTACTTCAAAAAGTTCAAGGAAAGATTCGTATTATCTTCAAATTCTATCTTTCCACAAGCATTTTGAAGTTCCCTTGTATAAAACAATATTTTAAGAAAGGTGCTATTTTAATATTCATAAAATAAAGATAAGATTATTTAAATACTTACCATTTAAAAGGAATAAAAATAAATTCAAAATATTTGATGTTCAAAAAATTATCAAATTTCCTGCTTTGCACAGTTACCGAGATCTGCTCTCCAAAGGATAGTTTCATGTACCTTCCTTATACAGAATGGTGAAAAAAGAGATTTGGAACTTCAAGTCAAGGTTTGAGAACTGATTCTACCATTCGCCAGCTATTTGGGAATGTGCTTTATATATTCAAAGGCATTGTATATATTTTAATTAATTCTTCTACTACTTTAAAAGTATTTAAATAATGGATGTTGAAAAAAGCTTAGGCTTCAAAAGCCATAATTTCACAACATGCCGCAATGCTCAGGATTGAGAAGTAGCTGGAAAAAATCTCAATGTCTGAATCAATGAAAATAATTCAGATGAAACAATTATCTTGGGGTTTCAAGCATATTAATCCTTCAGAAACTCATATTCTAGCTTTCATTGTCTAAAATGACTGCCTACACATTTGGTTTTCCTGTCCACCAGGGAAGACCTCTCCTAACTTGTATGTAATTCTGATAAACACCGCTTCTTACTAACATATCTCAAGTAATGTATTTAAAGGCTACTGGTATAGAAAATAAATCTGCATTAAAAAAAAGGTATTCTATTTAAAAACTTTATATCCAGCATAATTAAACATTGGCAATTAATGGAAAACATCCATTAAAGTAGAAACTCAAATAAAAGTTAAAATATAGGGCCG